CAAAATAAAAAAAACGTCAAGTGCTACAAATGCCATCAGATGGGCCACTTTAAGAGAGACTGTCCCAATAAGAAGCAGGGTGATGAAAGAAAAGGTGATGGGTCCTTAAACTTAGCTAGTGTTGCAGAAGGAGACTCAGATTCTGGAGATGGAGACACGCTATCAATCTCTGCAGGTAATTTTGAAAAATTAATGACTGTTACTTGATTCAGCCTATTCATATCACATGTGTCCTCACCGGGATTGGTTTCATTCATACCGTTCTGGTAATTTTGGATCTATGCATCATATAAGGTCATTAGAATGGGGTCCATAAAATTTAAAATGTTCGATGGTGTGGTAAGGACCTTGAAAAATGTTAGGCATGTACTTGAGTTGAAAAAGAATCTAATTTCTTTAGGCACTTTAGACACAAATGGTTACTCTTATAAGTCAGAGTATGGGGCTCTAACAGTGAAGAAAGGGGCTATGATTGTGATACAAGGTCAGAATTAGCAGGGAATATCTACAAACTACTTGGGGATACAGTTGTAGATGGAGTTGCTACAGTAGAATCTGAGTCAAATGACACTCTTCTATGGCATAAGTGAATGGGGCATATAGGAGAACGTTGCATGGTTGAGCTTCACAAGAGGAATTTATTGAAGGGGTAAAATCATGCAAGCTGGATTTCTGCAAGTTCGGTGTGCTTGGAAAACAGTCCAGAGTACAGTTTAAGATGGGAAAGCACAAGATAGGGAGCATTCTTGATTACTTACACTCAGATGTTTGGGAACCAATGAATTAGTTGTCCAAAGGTGGATCTTAGTATTTCATTACTTTCATTGATGATTTCTCTAGAAAAGTTTGGGTATATTTCATGAAGCACAAGTCTGAAGCTTTTGTCAAGTTCAAATTATGGAAAGTAGAAGTAGAGAATCAGACAGGCAGAAAAATTAAGTATCTGAGGACAGACAACGGTACAGAGTATACAGATTCACAGTTTCTGAAATTTTGTAAGGAGCATAGTATTCAGCGGCACTATACAGTTTGCAAGACACCACAGCAAAATGATGTGGTGAAAAGGATGAACAAAACAATTGCAGAACAAACAAGATATTTGAGGTTGAATATAGGGCTCTCGAAGAGTTTTTGGGTGGAAGCAGTGAACATGGCATGTTATGTCATAAACAGATCACCACGAGCAGCACTAGATGGGAAAGTTGCAGAGGAAGTTTGGACAGGTAATGAAGTTGATTATTCTGAATTGAGAGTATTTGGTTGTCTGGCTTATGTGCATGTATCTAGTGATCAGCGATTCGAACTTAATCCGAAATCAAGAAAATGCATTTTTCTGGGCTATGTAAAATGTGTAAAGGGATACAAGTTTTGGGATCCAGAAGTAAGGAAGATGGTGATAAGTAGGGATGCAGTATTTGATGAAGCATTCATGCTTAAAACTTCTCCAGATAAAGAAAAGCTCAATTCAGACGAGGGAAGAGGTAAGAGCCAAGTGGTGCAAGTAGAGCCAGACAACGTTAACACAGAAATTAATGCTTAGGGAGCAGATAGTTCTGGGTCAGAGGTGAAGTAATATCATAGTGTTGCCTTATATAGACCATGTCGCACTACCAAGCCACCAACAAAGTATGGATTCGAGGATTCGATTTCTTATGCACTCATTACCAGCAATAACGATCCTATAACTTTTCAGGATGCCATTGGTAGTCAGGAGAAAGGTAAATGGATAGAGACTATGACGGAGGAAATTGAGTCACTGCATAAAAATATTACTTGGGATTTGGTAAAGCTTCCAGAGGGGAAGAAACAGACATGGTGTAAGTGGGTGTATAGAAAGAAAGAATCAATGTCAAAAAATGAAGGAGAAAGATACAAGACTCGATTAGTAACAAAGGGATACTCACAGAGAAAGGGAGTAGATTATGATGATATTTTCTCCCTGGTCGTCAGACACACCTCCATCAGGATTGTTTTGACAATGGTGGCTAATTTTGATTTGGAGTTAGAGCAGCTAGATGTGAAGACGGCTTTCCTTCATAGTGATTTGGAGGAACAAATTTTCATGGAGCAGTCAGAAGGGTTTTTCGAACCAGGAATAGAGAATCTTGTGTGTAAACTGAAGAAGTCTTTATACGGGCTTAAGCAGTCTCCACGGCAATGGTACAAGAAGTTCGATTCTCATATGATTCAAATTGGCTACAGTCGTTATGAGTATGATTGTTGTGTTTATTACAGAGTTCTTGAGAATAACTCATATATTTTCTTGATGTTGTATGTGGACGACATGCTAATTGCTGCTAAGAACATGGATGAGGTAAACAAATTGAAATCTTTGTTGAGCAGTAAATTTGATATGAAAGACTTGGGACCGGCTAAGAAAATTCTTGGCATGGAGATCAACAGAGATAAGAAAGCCAAAAAATTATGGATATTTTAGAAAAAATATTTGAAGAAAATGTTAGAGAGGTTTAACATGTCAGATGCAAAACCAGTTGCTACGCTACTGGCAAATAACTTCAGATTGTCTAAAAATCAGTGCCCAAAGAATGAAGAAAAAGTTGTAGAGATGTCAAAGGTACCTTATGCCAGCGCAGTTGGATGTTTGATGTATGCAATGGTGCATACCAGACCAGATTTAGCACGTGCAGTCAGTGTGGTTAGTAAGTATATGGCTAATCATGGTAGAGAGCATTAGAGAGTTGTAAAGTGGATTTTCAAGTACTTGAAAGGTACAATGGAGTGCGGGATCATGTTTGAGACACAACATGGTGATATTTCAGTTCAAGGATATGTAGATGCAGATTATGCAGGGGACTTGGATGACAGAAGGTCCCATACATGTTATGTTTTCACACTCGCAGGTGGGCCCATATGTTGGCGATCAATGGTGCAGTCACTAGTGGCATTATCTACAATTGAAGCAGAGTACATGGCGTCAACTGAGGCAGCCAAGGAATTATTATGGTTGAAAGGGCTTGTCAGGGAACTTGGGATCAAGCAAGATGGAATGAAGCTGTACTGTGATAGTCAGAGCGCCATCTTCCTAGCGAAAAATCAGATTTATCATGAAAGAACCAAGCACATTGATGTGAGATTTCACAAGATAAGAGAGTTGGTTACTTCAGGAGAGCTATCGTTAGAGAAAATGCATATTTCAGAAAATGCAACAGACATGATGACAAAGCCAATCATAATGGATTGGTTCAAGCACTGCTTGAACTTGATTAACTTCTCTAGGTGTTAGAGAGGATGTGTCCCAACCCATTGGTCCTAGATGGTGTGGTTTTTCCAAGTTATGTTTTTTTTCTCCTAAGGGGTATTGTGCATAGCTCATATAGAGTGAAACATAGATCTTGGATCAAATGGGCCGATGCCGACGTGGAGCGGAGTGACGGCATCGGCCTTGTGTGAGTTTAATTCACCGTCTGGTTGTTAGGGATGTTGAATGGGTTGGGGGTACGGTACAGGGGTATTTCCCTGTACGGGTCTTAAAGTCTTATATGGGTCCAAGTCAGGGTTAGTATAAATAATATGTTGTAACTCTATTTTTCACTACTGAATAAAGATATCTTCATTTCGCTATCGTGGACGTAAGCACACCGTCCAACCACGTAAATTCTTGTGTTGATTTTCTTTTTCATCTCTTTAATATTACGCATAAAATCCAACAACAATTAATTTAATTTTAAAATTATTATAAATTTAGCCCCCGTTTGGCTCCCATTTGTGGTAATGAAAATTGGTGGAATAATATTTTTTTTTTAAATGAGTGGTTGAAAAAGAAGGAAATTTTTTTGATTTACGTATAATATTATTTTATAGATGATTGTGTAGTTGAAAATAGGAGAGAAAAAATTGAAATGTAATAGAATGAAAATTGATGGGGACCAATCGGGGGCTTAGTTTTTCACCTGATTTTGTTAAAAAAAAAAAAGTTTTATACCTTATGTTTGAATTTGAAAGTTTAATGGTAGGATTTTGTGTAATTTTCCTAAGAAGTTTGAATAGGAGAGAAAAAATTGAAATGTAATAGAATGAAAATTAATGGGGACCAATCGGGGGCCTAGTTTTTCACCTGATTTTGTTAAAAAAAAAAAAAAAAGTTTTAGGGGGGTGTATTCAATTGAAATTTTTAAAGACATTTGGAGACTTTTTTAAGTGGGTGACTTTTGTGGACTTTGTGAAATTTTAAGTAATTTTTATGGATTTGGTAGGAATTAGTAAAAGTTTTTCCTGGATTTGTGGAGACTTTTACTAAAGACTTTTGAGGATTTTTTTTTTTTAAAGGAAATATGCTTTTCATAGTGTTAAATGTGAGATATCGAGAAATATTTATGAGAATTCACAACATTCACTTAAAAATGAATCTTTGAAATTAGAGGGAGAGATAGAGATCAATTAGTGAAAATTTACCATAACCTGATTTGAAGAAAACTCATAGCAAAGATTCAAAGAAATACCTAATTGGAAGAGATAGAGGAAAAACTTAGAGAGAAATAAGAATAGCAAACTCTTTTTAGAAATCTCTCTATGGATGAGAGATTTTGGGAGAAAAATCCTATTTATATTTTCTATTAAAAAGTCTCTGAAAGTCTAAAAAATTTTAAATTTCTTGAAAGTCCCTCTAAATTGAATACCTCAAAACTTGTAGAGACTTCTAAAAAGTTTCAATTGAATACCCCGTAACTTCTGGAGACTTTTTAAAAGTCTATTAAAGTCTCTATTGAATACACCCAAACTTTTAGAGAGTCTCTAAAAGTTTCAATTGAATACACCCAAATTTTTTAAATCTCTAAAAGTTTTTAAAAGTCTCAATTAAATACACTCCCCTTATACCTTATGTTTGAATTTGAATGTTTAATGGTAGGATTTTGTGTAATTTTCCTAAGAAGTTTGAAGGTGTGAAGCTAAGTCGGTGAATCGACTAAAAGGAATTCATGCCCTGGAAATCTCGTCACATCTAAATGGAAGGCTGAGATTTGACTCATTAAAATCTAACGGCTTACAGCAATTAGCTATATCACGTATAAAAGTGAAAAACCCTAGGGCTCCTCAATTACACCCTTGCTTCGGCGCTCGATCGATCTCCTGTACAGGACTTTCTGCATCTGCTCCATTCTCATCAATTCCAAGATGGTGGGGTTACATGGAGATGTGATTACTTTAACAAAATTTGTTTCGATTCTGTGTATAATTAACTATAAATTAATTTGTGGTTAAAGGTTCTTCCAAACGATGTTGATTTGCTGAATCCACCGGCTGAGCTTGAGAAGAGAAAGCATAAGCTCAAGCGTCTCGTTCAGTCTCCCAACTCATTCTTCATGGTATGCTTACCTCTCTAATTAATTTTCATTTTTTAAGCTATTCTCTCTCTTTTTACGCCCTGTTTCTTTTATTTATTTGTTTTTTTTATTGTAGGATGTCAAGTGTCAAGGTTGCTTTAATATGTAAGTGTTTTATGTTTTCTAAATCAAGTCCAGTTTTTATTCTTCTAGGCAGAGATAATTGTTTTTTATATGTATTTGTGTGTCTATTTGCAGAACCACCGTGTTCAGCCACTCGCAAACGGTGGTGGTGTGTGGGAATTGCCAGACCGTGCTGTGTCAGCCAACTGGTGGTCGTGCCCGGCTTACAGAAGGCTGCTCATTCAGGAGAAAGGGTGACTGATTTGTTAGTATTTGTGATACACTCCCTGTTTGCATTCTTGGATTGGTCTAAAGATAGAACCAGAGTTTGGTTTTTGAGGGCAGGGTTTTGTTTTAATTAATATGTTTTCTTGTTAAGAATTATGGAGTGAATTTCGAAAGCGACATTCATGATATTCTTCAATGTTGAGATGCAGTATTACTCAGTATCTAAGTATTGTTTGTTTGGTTATCTTTATTTACCAAGGTTGAGATGTGGGATATTATGATATAATTCTTGCTTATTTTTTTATCCATGTATAAGTATTGGCAGTGTGGTTATTCAGGCATTGTGTGGATATAATGTTAATTTTCCTTGGAGTCTTGACTCTTGTCACAAAATGAACTTCCAATCCTGAGCTTTGATTCAATATGAAAACTCTTAAGAGTTTATGTTTGTGGTGCGCTACATGTAAAATGTTTTGTAGTTGATTTTAATGTAGCAATAGCAATAGCAATAGCATTACAGGATATTGATAATATGACGGTTGAGGTTAAGATGTTCTTGAAAATAGCTGAAATTGTGTTTAGAAAAAGAAAAAAAAAATGATGTTTGTTGTGTTGAATGTATGCAGGTCCAGTGTTCTAATGATGAGAATGGTCGATTTCAAACTAAAAAGTCCATTCTTGGAGAAACTGATTAAAATGAAAGTTGATTTAGAGTTTCTTGGAGTTTTTGATTAACTATAATTTGATATATAGTTTTGATATTTTAGAAATTCATGAAACGAGAATCTAATTTTCGATTTAGACGGTATTTAATGGTTATGCTTGCAATTACATAGATTTTCATCTTCTATGTTCTCATCTTATGTCTCCTCTCTGTCTTATTTGGGCTTCCGTTCTCTTCCCGTCAGGTTGGTAACATATTTATGTGATATACATGGGATAAGATCATAAGAAGTTGCTCTTGATATGATAAAAATACTTGATTTTATTCTGAAAAATTTAATCTCTTGGCATTTACATCATCTGGTCTGGATGAGATGTTGTTAGACATTGGAGTGCCCGAAAACGAAGACGAGTCACAGCTTTGAAAGGTATTTAGTTATTTGGTCGAGTAGATTTTATCGACTTGCTCTAGCTTATGAAACAGACATGGCCTTCTTGTATGACGTGACAGATCACATATTTCCGATAGAGACTACGCAAATCTTGTTCACCTAAAAGCACTCTAAGTCTTGTATGGCTATACCCAAAAAATTCAGTGTCGAAAGTCTTTAGCCACCCGCTCCTCGTTGTTCAGTAGTGGTGGTGGGTCTTATTTTAGAATTTTGGTAGGTGCCGGAGTGCACAGAATTGATCAGGATCTCTCAACATATTCTGGTTTGGTTCAAATGTCGTATTGCAAATGACGGGATTCCTAAAACTGAAATTTCTTTCTCTTGCAGTGTGTTTTGGGGCTTTTCCCAGCTCTCTTCTCGATTCTTCTGTGACTTTCTTCTCGTGTAGTAGAAATGGGGAAATTGAATCCTTCTCATATTGCACTTTTAGTAGTGTTTCGTCAAAAATGAAAGTAACGATAGGGTTATCTGATATTTTCTTTTTTTCAATAGCTTAAAAAAAAATAAAAATGGTTTGAATCCCAACCTTGAGGGCCGTCACGGTCTCGTCCCTAAAGCTTTGTGAGGGAGGTAAATCGCTAGATGTGTCCCAGCAGGTCGGGGAATAAGAAATGTCTCTACACTGCGCCTACAAAGAGTTCAATTCCATGTCTCAGGGATTGAATTTCTACACTGCGGTTGGCAGTAAGGTGTGAGATAATTTCAATCATATCCTTTGTACTACTGGGTTATGTCTCGGAGGGCCTTTTTTTCAATAACTTTGTTATACACTCGATGGTTATTTTACAACTTTAGATTCTTGTTAAATTTTTGGATGAAAATTGTCTGGGAATTGTTAATTTCGACCTAGATTTTTTGTAACACTCGAATTTGTTGAGTTATTTTCTGTTTTCTTTGTTCTGAATTTTTTTTCCTTCTTCCATTTTTCAGGGCGATTCGATGTTTTATGTGCAACAATATTTTGTTCTTTTCGATTTTTTTTAGGTCAATTTCTGAGGACTGTTCTTTTCATTGTAATAGAACAAACGGGTGTGAGAAAAAAGCTATTGCAATAATAGAAGATCTGGCCGATTTTTTATATCGTCAACCCGAAATTGAAAAAAAAATAAATTGAGGATTCCAAGGAGAATGCTCGGTTTCCGAGCACATCCCAGTCGGGGGGAAATGTCGTGATGTCCATAATAATTCAAGAAAGAGGCAATCAGTTCCAAGAGAAAGGCTAAAGTAATCCAAACTAAAGATTTCAATACAAGCCTATCCCTTTCAATAGTTTGGGGGTTTTTTGAATTCCTATTTTTGGATATTATCATATTAAAGTAGATTAATTGAGTGAAGATTGGATTATAAAATAGGGGATCAAAAGTGAATCTAATAAGATACGAGAGATGAATCCAATCATGGTTGATATCACAATAGTCATGTCCTCGAGAAAATTTTTTGTACTCATCATTGGCTAAAGCAAAATTTTGTAACGTACTAGGGTATCCCATTAGTAAGCCGGTTCGGGTTGATAAGTATGAAAATTCAATTGTTTATAACAGGGTGATGATTGGTGTACAGATTAAGGGTTTATAGAACTTTTACCAACACCTCACATAGGAGGGTGGGGGAGGAAAGGGGGTTAATTTTTTAACATTATTTATTCACGTGAAACCCATATCGGTATGAGAGTTTGTACACATTGTGTAAGAAAAAAAAATTCTTAATTGTTTATAATATTACTTAATTGACATGAACCTATCATTGAGTCCTTAAAGTGTGTAATAATAATTGGATCATGCTACATGTACTTACACTTTTGTACAAAAAGTTTTACTTACACTCATAATAGGGGTGGGGACCACACAGTCGGCATTTTTGAATTCATGTGGGGTCCGCATTTTTTATGAGTGTGTGTAACCCATTTTATCAAAGTTTGTAAGTATATATATATTAATCCATAATAATTAATTAATACTTGGCAAGGAGCCATCCGTTCGTAGGGAGCTGAGGACGAAAAGGCGTCCAAGTTATAACAAATCAAGACGTACCCAGGCATAATGAAGAAAAATCAAAGTGATTGAACATTTTGCTTTGTCAGATAATCCCAATAAATAATCCAACGAAACACTGTAATATAAGAAGAAGAAGATAAGTGTAACAAATCTTAATCAAATAAAAATGGCTCAAAATTTCTTTACAGAAATCAAAATTCCGCAGCAAAAAATCTTCAAAGGGCTTGTTTTCCCCAAAATATTATCTCCCAACGCAAGAAATTCAGTAGAATTTCACAGTTTAACTGACGCCATTAAAGATCAGAAGTCATGGCTGGATTCTGTTCTGCATCAACACGGGGCTATTCTTTTCAGGGGTTTTTCTGTATCCACTGCTGTTGGCTTCAACGACGTTGTTGAAGCGTTTGGGTACGAGGAACTGCCGTATGTGGGCGGTGCTGCTCCTAGGACTAACGTCGTTGGCCGGGTCTTCACTGCCAATGAGTCCCCGCCCGATCAGAAAATCCCTTTTCATCACGAGATGGCTCAGGTCTGTTTTGCTTAATATTGCTCTTGTAATTGGGATTACGGCCGAGAAATTATAATCTTGCTTGTGATTTGATGCTGTTTCTTCGTTCTGCCTATGCGTATGCTAGTGGGGTTACTCCATAATCTCATAATTCTTGAATTCTTACGTAGTATGTAGTTGAATTTTCACAATTAATGTATAAAATTTTGAGAATTTGGCTGCACTTAATCAACATCTGTAAACTTATCTGCAGTATTCATAAAATATCACAATTTTTTTTCCCAATTAAAGGCTCCTCCCGCTGTTTGTTCATTGATTGGTAGTGGTTGTAAATGCGTTGGAAAATAAATAATTTAAGTTTTAAATTTTCAAATTAATACTTTTAAATTTGTTGTTTCAATTTTAATATCAATTTAATGCAAAATTAAATTAATATTATTATAGTATAACATATATGTTAAATTGCTTAATTCTCGTAAGTGTGGGGGTTAAATTTATTTATACCCATAGTGTAACATACATGTAAAATAACTTAATTCTCATATATGTGGGGGGTTAAAATTAATTTATCCTTGTGAAAGGGGAATGATTTTCATTGAGATGAAAAAAAAAATAATATTAAAAGAAAGCTTGAGAACTAGAATATAATAACTTGAAGTATTATACTCTCTACACTTTTACAATATACTATTTTGGCAATTCGATAAGAAGCTCGTTCACTTATCTCCCTATGATCGTGTCCATAGAAGGAGAACCGGCTGTGAACCACATGAGTTTTATCTTGGAGTAGTGTAACGTCGAAAGTACACGCACGAAAGGGAGACAACACGACTTTAGAATAGCGTCATTGATGTGACTCCCTAAAACTTACATTTTAACCCTCTTCTTATTGTTGAATTATAATGTTTAAATTGTTATAATATTGTTGTGTTCATACAATTATTGAATTATGTTATTTATATTTTTTAGTTGATATGTTAATTTACGCACAAATCACCCAATTTTCCCAACACTATTTGATAGAATTTATTTCGCTTTGCTGTTTGCTCCGAGTTTCATGGTGGATTCCTACATGCTAGCTATGAGTTGTTAAATTGAAGGTATAGATATTCGGTCATAAGTTTTGATTTTAGGCATGGGTTATAGACACACACAGACTAATATTAATTATGTTCCAAAGATGTTTAGATAAATTTCACGATATATATTAGTTATAGAAGTAGTTTGTTTGAAGCCGTCTATTATCTATAGCCACTGAATTCATTGGGAAATTAGTTGGTAAAATTCGTGCATTGGTGATGACTCTGCAACAGGTTCCCGAATATCCTTCCAAACTGTTTTTCTTTTGTGAAGTGGAGCCTTTAAACGGGGGAGAAACTCCTATTGTTCTAAGTCATGTTGTATATGAGAGGATGAAAGAGAAGTACCCAGACTTTGTTCAAAACTTGGAAGAGCATGGATTAATATATACACGAGTTCTGGGAGAAGACGACGATCCTTCATCTCCCATTGGTCGTGGGTGGAAATCGACATTTTTGACTAAAGAAAAGAGTGTGGCCGAGGAAAGGTTTGTAATCTTCATCTATTTGTCTTCTTAGAAATTGTTCAATTTTTGTGACTTGTACTTTTGCAGTGTTCAGCTTAGTTTCAGTAAAAGCCTTTCCGATGGTAAAACCTGTTGGAATTTTCGTGTTACTTCAGCAAAAGACATGCACTAAACATTTCGATCTAGTTTTTCTCATTTTCTTGATTACATTATCCTGTGCACGAAGAGTGTGTCTGTTCGCTAACTTTAGAAACGGATTCGGACAGCTATAGGTGACTAAGGGCCTGTTTGGCTGGCTTTTGCTTTTTTAGAAGAGTTTCATGAGAAAGCTATATTGTGACAGCTTCTTCTAAAAGCTCTTCTAACACGGCAAAGCACTTTCCCAAGTAGATTTTGGCTTTCCAAAAGCCTTGCCAAACAGACATTAAATTCTCAACATGTTTTACTTGGAAACAGTCAAATAATTGAAGATTAATTTGACTTTTATCAGGGCTGCTAAGTTAAACATGAAGCTGGAATGGACAGAAGACGGAGTGAAAACCATTATGGGCCCTATCCCGGCTATCAAATTCGACAAAACGAGGCAGCGCAAGATTTGGTTCAACAGCATGGTTGCTGCTTATACAGGCTGGGAAGATGCACGAAATGATCCGGTCAAGGCAGTCACGTTTGGGAATGGAAAACCATTACCATCTCATGTCATCTACGACTGTCTAAGAACCCTAGATGATGAAAGTGTTGCCATACCATGGCAGAAAGGTGATGTTTTGTTGATCGATAATTTGGCTGTTCTTCACTCTCGAAGGCCATTCGCTTCTCCTAGACGCGTCTTGGCTTCGCTTTGCAAGTAGAAGTTTTCTAGCTATACTTCGCTGAGTCTTTGTATCTAAATACAGCTTTTAAGTGGCATATGATACAGTGTGATAGAGGCATATCCTATTTAGTAGAAAACTTGTACTATGCAGTTTCAACTTACAAACTAGCGGGTTTTGAGTTTGAACCATCTCATTATTTTAAGAGTATCTTCAAGAGACTCTTTAAATATGATAAATAAAAAGTCAATCTTTAAAATCAGACTCTTTAAATTAAAATTTTAATTTTGAGAGTGAGTTTGGCTTTCCATAACTCACTCTCTATAACTAAATGCATTTAAAGTGTTTCAATTTTTTATGTAGAAATATAACAAAATAAATTAAAGAAAAGCCAGTTAATATAAATGATAGAAAGAAATAATAAATATTTTTAGGAGTAGTAAAATTAAATGTTAAATATGAAGAGTTTTTCAAAAAAATTTCAAAATTTTTTCAAAATTTTAACTCTCTAAATTTATAGATGTTTTTCAAATAATAGAACATACTCTTTAGAAATAGAGAGTTTTTTGAATATGTTGTAACGATTTTTAATTTCTCTATTATTGACCTATAACCCGATGGGTTCCAATTTTTTCCTGTTGAATGGGCCAGTCCGATCAAGTGCAGTTTCGATAACACTCGTATAGACACATGGAATGTAATTTCAAATGTATTATACTAGCGTTTTCGGGATTATATATATTTGATGTGCTTGTGAGAGGCATGTCGAGGACTTTTGATGTCCCCATGAGAGGTATATTTGAAGACACAATTTAAATTAATAAGTATTTCACCACCCTGAACATTAAACTTTTTGATGATGCAATCAAAGAAGCGACTTCGAGGTAAAATGGGAGTAAATTTAATTTTCATAAATTCATCTTATTATTGTTTGGTTCATTGATTTCTCATAATTGGAATCAGTAGAATCACAAGAAGTAATATCTTATCTCGAGGGCTCGTGACTAGGGCTGTCAATAGATTGGATTTTGATCCGAATCCGATGAAATTAATGGGAGATGGATTTAAGGTTTCAATCCGATAATTCGATTAAGATCCGAATTCGATAATCCGTTAACTAAATGGAGCAAATATGGGTATATGTCGATCCGATTCGATTTATTATAATAATATCATATGTTTTATATATTATATCATAATTTATTAAACATAATTTTTTCCATTTTGAAACTTATATTATGCTTTACGCATAATTTTCAAATAATAAATAATATTAGATAATAGTATAATATTTTTACTTGAAATATTCAAAGAGGTCTAATTTTTTATTAATTAAAATAAGATAAAAATAACTATAGTAATTTGTTTTATAACATCAAAAACTAATAATTAATATGTTCAAAAATAATTTACTTTGTTAAAATTGATATTGTTTTTTATTTTAATTTTGTTAAGGCCATGATTTTTAGTGAAAATAATTAAAATAAACTAGTAAACACTTAAAATTGACAATTGAGTAGTATCTCACATTGAAAGACCACTAAAACATTAGAAGAGAAGTACCCTTTAAAAATGTAGTATCCCACATTGAAAGATTATTAAAACATTCCAAGAGAAATCTTCTTTAAAACAAACTAAAGGAGCATCACTTGGATAAAAAATTGATTTGGGCCTTCTAGTATATTAGGTGAGCCCATCAAGATAGTTAAAATATTTTTTTTTTGGAAAAAATTGGTGGAAAAAAATTCGGATCAGATCCCCAATAACATAGCAAATAGTATATGGATTTAACAATCAAATATTCGTTGGATTATCGAATCAAATCGGATCGGATAATTTTTCTTAACGGATCGGATCGAATTTGGACAGATTCGCTCCATATCTGATCATTAACAGCCCTACTCGTGACAAGTGCAAGATAAATTTGTGTTAAAGAAAATTTAAAATCAAACTCTTTGATCAGTGAAATTACAATCCAATATAATTTTGGGTTGACATGAGATTACAATGGATAAATTATGAGTTAGAGTTTCTTCGTCACTTACTATCAAAATTTTGTATATATGTATGTGCTCATGAGGTGTATTGAAGACACTTTTTAAATTGATTAGCTTAATATCAACATGACGATTTAAATTTTTAGATAATGTAGTTCAAAGGTAAAATTAAGATGCCAAGTTGAGGGGTTGTGTGGCCAAACAAACATTGTGGCAATGGTAAGCCAACTTATAGCTTCAATGCCTCACAAGTTGCAATAGAAGTGCAACTTCAGTGCTTGCAATTTCTATTAGGATTTAATCAATTAATGGCCTCTAAACTTTCACCAACTTTTCTACTCACCAATTTTAAATGTTATTCAATAATCACACATCTTTCAATTAATTATCCATCCACCATCCATAAGAAAACAGTTCAAACTATTAACAAAAAGAGCTCACGTGACAAATCGGAATCCAATGTGATAATTCGACAGCGTGAAATTTATCGAAATCAGCCAAATCACAAAGCAAAACGTGATTTTTCTTCCATCTTAGAACACAGGTCTTTGTAAAATGAATGGAAAGTCACATTTTCTTGGGTGCGATTTTATTGACATGGACTGATTTCATGTCATCAATTTGCCACGTGAAACCGTTTACCATGTGAGATTATCTATCGACAATTGGAACCGTTCTATTTTCTTAACGGTTGGTGAATGGTAATTATTTGAAAGATGGGCGAGCATTGAGTAACCTTTTGAAACTAGTTTAGCGACTAGAAACCTAATGTATGTTTAGTGCTCGTTGTCGATTGAACCCATTCTATTACATCCAAAACTATTATGCAGAGAAAGCTGTGAAAGAGTAGCAATGTAGAAATGAACAACAAGAAGGATGTATAAATTCCCACTGAATCACCATGGTTAACCATTCTTGATGCTAGCTATACACACCACTATATCTATAAAAAGTAAGCATAGGAAGAAATGGTAAAATTGAAAGCTCTCGATACGGGTCAACCGAGCAAAGTGGAAATCGGGAATCTAAAAGCAACTCTAAACGAGGCCTTAGTCACCTATCTTCCTTGAACTAGGCCGCTGAAGACTTGGCTGTTCCCAGCAAGAGTTGCTTCCCACTCGATGGATGATAATAGGATCTGTGAAAGCGAGATCACCACTTGCTTCATGTCTGGTCGTAAAATGGGATCATCATCTACACATTGCTTCGCCAACATAGCCATCTATACACACAACAATACACATCAATCCGAAGAACATCAAGATTGATCCAATAAAAGCAAGAATGCTGTGTATTTTACCTTATAAAGACAGTCATGGGGATACAAATCCATCAAATTAGGATCAATGTGATCATTCAAGCTTGACATACTCATAGAGTCGGGCGAGTTCCTCAGAGCAGCCACCATCTGAAACTTAGCCAGCATTAGGAGAACGCTTACCCTCAATTGATTTTAACTATCAGATGAAACCAATTTTATTTGGAGAAACTATCTTTTTATGGGATGATAGGACTTACAATGGATGCCAATGAACGACGTTCAGTACTTTTTATCATGGCCTCCTTTCCAGATATTATTTCGAAGAGCACAACGCCAAATGCATACACATCACTCTTATTTGTAGCCAGGCCATCCCTCAGGTATCTAAAGAAACCAGAGAGTGAAAGCAATAAGAAAAAACCCGAAACAAACTAGCTCGAGCCGAATCATTGATATTTTTACTTACTCTGGAGCTAGATACCCATACGTTCCAACAACTTTTGTAACTGAAGCTTCTCCATCGTTGGTTCTTGAAACTAGTTTTGTCAAACCAAAATCTGAAATCTATGGAAGTCAAATCAATCAGATGCAGTAATTGAACACGAATGCCACATTTTTAGGAAGGATTGATAGTACTAGATAGTATTAACGAAGAAAATGAAGTCAAAATCTTGTTTGGTATACCGTCCAATTTCATATACCAAACATGCAAAAAGAGCATAAATATGAAGAAAAACCTTTGCTCTAAAACTGGCATCGAGTAAAATATTGCTTGATTTGATATCACGATGCACATAATGGGGTTTGGTGTGCTCATGTATGTACTCCAGCCCTCTAGCGGCATCAAGTGCTATCTGAACCCTCATGATCCAAGAGAGTGATGTATGACCTATTTAAACACTAAGATTAGTAACACACAATCTGACCAAAACCCCAGTACCTAAAACCTAGAACCTCTTTTATTTACCTAAAAGAGATATAAATCAAGAATTGTCAACAGAATTGGGGAAATATCTCAAAGAACTGTTTCGAGTGAGAACTTGGATTTGAGACAATAAAAATCAAGCAGTTAACTGTCATCTAGCGAGGCATATAAGTGGATCTCACCTTTGTTTTGAGGATCGAGCAAATGGTTTCTAAGCGAACCCTTTTGAGCATACTCGTATATAAGAAAGAGTTCATCATCACTGGCAGCATATCCAATCAGTTCTACCTTTGACAAAATTAAACCATATAAAGTCAATATTCAATTTAAATGAAATCCGCCACCGTAGTTAAAAACATAGGAATTAGAGTGAATGTGAAATGCTGATCAGTATTACCAAATTTGTGTGATGAACTTTGCACAGAACTTTCATCTCTGCAATAAACTCTTTAGTTTTTGTAGCCGTCATTCTCTTGATCACAACTTCCTGAAATTTTACACTGTTCAGAATAACATTGAGGCACACAACAAATCTGTAGAAACAAACTCGAGAGTTGTAAACCTGGTCGCGGAGCAGGCTATAATACACTGAACCATACTTTCCATTGCCCAAAAGATTTGAATCGGAAAAATCATCTGTTGAAGACAGAATTTCGTCGTAAGCAAAAACCACAGGTTTCTCTACATCAAAGACGTCAGTCCCAATAACTGCAGCAAACAAGAGAAACAAATCAAAATCTCAGGTCTGCAACTTAAAATGATGTTAATCTTCACGTTATACAGAATGTAAAACGAAATGCTCATAAAATTGAAGTTTGAACCTGAAGGAATGTTCATCTGACGGTTGCTAGATTCTCCATTTTGCTGCTTCAATTCGCCGGACTTGCAACAAATGTACCTTCCTGAAGCACAGCAGAAACTAGTGTTTCGTAGAATACGAAACTTAGGAAAAAAATTCTCATCAGATTCTTTGATTTGGCTTCTCGGGGGTCCACCAAAACAGCCCGATGATCTCAAAATAAAAACAAGTACAACTATGACGATCAGAGTCAGACCAACAACCAAACTTCCAATGATCCACCAATAATGTAAGTGAGGCTTGTGACTTACTGAAAAGACAAGAAATAAATATTACAACATGTCATTTTAAATCATTTCTTACTTTAATATGTACAGCTTAAAAAAAGAGTTAGCATGACATTCACGGAGAATTTATTCCTCTAAACAAATTGTATCCACTAGGCAAAGCAATTGCTATGAATCTAAAGGAATGTCCATGTGTAAAAGTTACATACCAACAAAGTTATCAATGGAGGGAGCTGGAACAGGAGCTGGAGAGGTATCGTTCTCTAAGGGATAAGGCTCACCAGGAACTGAAGCATAATAGATAAACCAAAAACAAAAATACATCAAAGCCTCGTTCAAATCTTAAGTCATGTCTATAGATTACAGTGCAGAGTGCCTAGTAAAATTGAAGGATTTTTACTATAAAGATATACAATTTTGGTATCATGTACTCTCAAGTGGTCGGTTCCAAATAACATATTATTACACCGTTGATCAGGACAATAGCAGGTTCATTGATAAACAACCATATATTAGCCTGCATATATTTGTAACAGAGGTGATTCTTTCTATTTGATTGGGAACCGAAAGGACACAATTCGGGCAACAAAATTCAATTGTACTTCTCACAAAATTGTATTGTTCGATTTCAAAAGAGAAAATGTCACGAATACTTGCTCCAATTGATCGTTTCCATTTGTGCCAACAATTAAACAACGTAAACTACTTAACCAAACTCTAAACCCAAACGGCAGTCCCACTATCACTATCCCAAGCCTAATCAACCAACAAAAGGCAAATTCAGTACCAAAAATCATCATAGAGAAAAATCCAATATCAAATGATTAAGCCCATAATCCTATAATAAGCAAAAGATCATCATAATTAAATTTAAAAAATAAAAACAAAAAATTGAACTGCCAAAATCATACCTGAATTCAATGGTATGTAGTAGAGTGCCCCAATAGTGACATTATCAGGATTAGTAATCCCATTAACAGTCTCAATTCTATCCATACTAACCCCAAATCTACTGGCTAAGGACTCTATACTATCCCCATCTCTCATCACATAACTCATCAAATAATTCCACAGTCCACTTGAACACCCACACATAAGCTTCAAAGACACTACAGCACCCTTTCTTGCCTCCCGCGTAACATTCGACGAAAAATAGGCCAACCCATCATAAGCCCTCATCACCATATCATACACAGAACCATTGTTTTCTCTTACAGTAAAAGTAGTACTGGTTAAGTACTTGTTCAAATCTGAAGAACAAGAACAATTCTTTTTAATGAAAATATAGTTCCTTCCATTGCCTTCAATTGTTATGTCCTGTGGCAATACATCAAACATGCTTTGGATCACTTGAAGAGTCTGCTCCGCCGTGGGCTTGAAAGCTATAAAAGAAGTGCACAGCCTTGTGGTGTCTGTACAGTTGAGTGGAGTAGTAGGATTTGCAGCTGATGAAGAGAAAATGAGTGAACATACCGATAAAAAGATCAAGATTTGTTCTCCAATATGATCCATTGTTTCAAAACAAAACCTTGATGAAGAAAGATTGAATCTTGATGAAATAATTACATGAAAATTGGAGAGATATTTTGATGAGAATGGGGAGGGAGAGTGGACAGAGGACATAGAATTTCTGGAATGTGGGATTTGTTTGTTTTTTCTGCTAAGAAAAGGAAACAGAGTGAATACTAGTAGTCTAGTACTGTCTGTTAACTGCAAAAGACTGGACAGTGAAAAAATGAGAAAGAGAGGAGAGAGTCACTTCTTTTTGTTTTTTCATTTCAATTATTTGTTAGCTATCAGTCACCTTAAGATTGTTCAACTGATACCAAACTCTTTTACTTTTATCAATAATCCGCATTTCGACTTTCTACTAATAAAAAATTATATTTGACTAAGAGGTGTTTAGAAGATGTTTTTATGTAAAAATATATTTTTGAATAGTAAATTGATGAAAAATGTGTGATTGAAAAATAAGAAATTTTTTTTATTTACTTGTAATATTATATTAATAAAGAATATGTGATTAAAAAGAAAAGAGAGAAAAATACATTTTCAAAAAAATGGTACCAAACTGGGTCTAAATACATAATCACTAGCATTCTTCTACAGTTTCTTCGTTGAGAATAAATTATTATAAGGGTTAAAAAAATAAAATAAAATAATTAATTTTGTGGGTTGGCAATCTTGCAATGAAGGCTGGCTGAATTGGGAAAAGAGAAGCACAATTTGCAAGAAAAGGAAAGAGAACAGTTGGGGTTGGGTCCTACACTTCAGGCGACTTTATCTCTTAAAAAACTAGCCGAAGATTTCACGGTAAAATGAAAGTTCCGGCTCGGATTGACATTATTTGTTAAAGCGTTGACTGAGTCGTCATAAACAAATCTAAGCAAACCAGAGCTGACACGCAAGTTGACCAGGATATCCTGCGGTTCGGACCACGTTAAGAAACTATTAAAGAAGGAAAATGCTGAAGTGCCCAAATTTTGATGATCGTGAACCCCGCGTGAATAAAATAATGCCCAACTCTCAAGGTGTGAGTGTTCGATCATCCCGTATGTCAACAATTATATTTATGTAGCATGGTTCATAAAAGAACTCTAGTGTACGAATGACAATGAGACGGGGTGAGGGTAGGCATTTTGCCATTTTTCCATCTCGTTACCCGTTTAAGGTGGGTCGGGAGCGAGTTGAGCGGGGTGCGATGAGGCCAGTTTACATACCCCTTATTTTTTTAATTAAAAAAGTTTTTGATAATTCATTTTAATGTCTTTGTTCATTTAAGTAAGTCAATAATATAGTTATTAAATTTTTTAATAAATTTATTTTTAAAAGTTAAATTATTCAAATATAGTTGGTAAATTAACGTTTTTAATTGTTTATCATATTTTTTTGATAATCTTAATTGTCATATTCTGTTAGAATTAATGAAATTTTGTAAAGTTTTTCTATTTATGGCATGTTTGAGTTCCATTATTTTTTAATAATGCATTTTAGGAAGTGATAGAAAATGTGTGATTCAAAAATAAGGAAATTTTTTGAATTTACATGTAATATTATTTTATTAAAAATGTGTGGTTGAAAAAAATGTATTTTAAAAAGAATGGGAATTAAATAAAACTTAAAGTATTGAATTCTTCAAAAAAAAATTAAACGGGGCAGGGGCGAGGGGGGTCCGTGTTACCCGTAATTGCCTCAAGGTGGAATTTCTTGCTCTCTACCCGACCCAATTACCCGATTAAATGGGTAATCTCCGTTCCAAACCTACGGGTATAAGGTTTAATGGATATTTTTACCATCATATAGTGATTGCACTTGGCTTTTGATTTGACTCAGACGAAAGGTGCAGGCGCACTGGGATCGAGATGTAGAGAATAAAATCTCGTTTTTACAAACAAAATTTCAGTACTTATTTTTGGGTTTGATAGGTAGGCCCGCACGTGACTGGAGACAGCTATCAAAATGGACTGTCCTGCAAGGCGACTACGTAAAGCTAAAGGCAACTGTATAACTTTATTTACAAATTGACAGCATGTTTTAGCTCCATTGTAACAATACATTTTGATTGATAAATAAGGTATAATTAAAAAAATAAATAAATAATGAATTTATGTATTATATTTTGGAGAGTACGTGGTTGAAAATAAAATATAAAAAAAATATTTTAAAAATAATGAAGATCAAACAAGGGCTGACTTTCGTTTTATCTGTAACTCATTTTATTCTCCACCTAACTAATTAATAGGTGAATAATATTAAAATTGTTGATGGTTGGCCATTTGTCTGGCTCGATCAAACAAAAGGTTCCGACCTATGATGACCAACCAATGTAAGGTCAAGTCGTCGTTGACTGAGCTATGAGTGATGATCATGATTTGAACTATAATCACAAATGAACAATTTGATCGTTCTTGATATAATATTGCCAAAGATTGTATTTTGTCTTCATTGAAGAATGCTAGAATCATGATAAATCTAGTAAGTTGGAATATTTAGATAATAATAATAATAATAATAAATACATCATTTTTTTTTCATGCTACTGTGATTAGAGCTAAATTTAATTCTCATCAAAACTTAGTATTCCGTCTTAGAAGGTATTAAAAGGTAAAGTCTAATTGCTTATGTGTTGTTTATGTCTTCATCTTTCTCCGACGAGGGAGTTTAAGAATAAATTTCATCTATGTTTATTGGACTTTCTAGAAAATCTCAACTAGGTCACTAAACTTTAATTTAATTCCAATTGAAACATCGTCACATGTACCTCCGAAATTGATTAAAATTTTAATAAGCAGTCATATAGCAACAAATCTTCCACATAATAGTTATGCAGCTATACAACACATTATAAAAAGTGTCACAATAAAACAGACACTCATTTTAACCTTTTAACCTAAAAGATATTGTTAATAATGATGGCATATAAAATAATAAAACGACAGCAAATAATTACAAACACATGATGAACATTATTTAGGACAAGACATTTACATGTGGGATTAGGTTTGTATGATGTAAGATTAAATATTAATAAAAATAAGGAATCCTGTTCTCTTTGTTAATAATAATCCAGACTGGATTTATCGCACTGAATATACTAAAGGCAGAATAAGAATAATAATGCTGAAGGAAAAAATGGCAGCAGCCTATGATTGAGTATTTTTATGATTTTTTTTTCATTCTCCAATGAAAAGTTGCCAAATGGAATCTGAAAATGCTTTTCTGTCATTAACTCAAGCCATATAGCATGATTCACAGAATAATGTTAAAAGGCTAAACCCTAACTTTAAGGGTCCCCCACCATCCCTATTCTGAAGTATCGTGAGGGAGATAAATCGCAGGTTATGCCTCCAAGGGTACAGGATGGAAAGCTGTTTGTACACTTACACTTACTCAAGAGTCAAATCCATATTTCAGGATTCGAACCCTTAACGCAACAGTCTCAAGCAAAGTTGGATTTCTCCACCCTTCCCTTTTATCACTTGGAGATGTGCCCTGGGGGCGATTCACAGAATAATGTTACTTGAGCTTTTGATTTTGTCTAGTACACTACTTGGCCATTGAATTAAAAATAATGTTATTTACAGTCGTTCACTATGGCAGTCCTCCTACGTGACATACGCATAATATGGGATTATTTGATATAGAAGTCAATAAAAAATACCACCACATTAATACATCAATTAATTACCTGTCATGTGTATTCCACGTTGGACTGCTGTAATGAATTATTATGAATAACATTACTCTTGAATTAATAAGGATTTTCTGCCCATTAACTGCTAAATTAATTTTGTGACATTAATGGAGATTTAATGTCATTGATCTTTTGAGTAGTATTATTCGCTCACGTGAATTACACAAATTGCATGTGCTAATAATTGAGGTTCATTAAACATTGTGCAAATGAAATCTCCCGTATATTCCTCACAATTTCTATTTTATGAAATTATTTTTTATTTTCGGTTTGGATTGATAAGTAAAAAAATTGAAATGAAATATTTTCACCTGCGTCAGGTGAAAACTTTGATAAAAAATATGACCGTTTATGTTATTGAAGACCAATAACATTAAAATACAGGTAAAAACGGAAGGAGACTAATTTTAGATTCTTGAAAAAAAAGATTGGATAATGCTTAGTTGGTTTAATTAAACTTGTGTCAATCATAATTCACACGCCAGTAAGATATAAAAGTGTTGAAATAAATTAACACAAGAGAGTGCTACAGAGCACAAAATCTACAGTTTAGTGCCATTCCAGCCAATTGGCCTAGTCATTTGAAATATGAATTGATGTCTAGTGGCAGGTTTACAAATGGACAACTTACAAAAATATCCTTAAAATTAGAGATATTTGAAAGATTATATGAAAAATATTCTGAAAGTAAAAAAAACTGTGTAAAATTAAATGTAACTTTTTAAATTAAGCCATTGTTTGAGATCTATTTTTCTATCAAAATACATTTTTCAACAGTGATTTGACCTAACTTTAACCACACATTTTTTAATAATTGAGATCTATTTTTCTATCAAAATACATTTTTCAACAGTGATTTGACCTAACTTTAACCACACATTTTTTAATAAAATAATATTAAACGCAAATGCAAAACTTTTTCTTTTATTTTTAAACACACATTTTTTATCAATATACTATTCAAAAATATATTTTGTGACAAGAATGGGGCTCAAATAAGGACTAAATGTCACTTTTTATTAAAAAAAAGACATATAGCCCTTGTTTGACCCCTATTAATTTTTATTCCATTATATTTCATTTTTTTCTCCTATTTTCAACCACACAATCTTTCATAAAATAATATTACACGTAAATCAAAAACTTTTCTTTCTTTTTCAACCACTCATTTTACGAAAAAATAATATTCTACTCATTAATTTTTCACGTAATGGGGGCCAAACAAGGGCATAATGTCACTTTTATTAAAAAGTAATATTCATTGCTCAAAAAATTGATAGAAATTTTAAGAACATGACAAAAAAATGATAAAAATTCAAAAAAGTGATTAGAGCATTAAAAAAGTCACAAAATTTAAAAAGTGACACAAATTTTTTTTAAAAAATTGACAAACTATAAAAAAAAGTGACGGAAATTCAAAAAAGCGTGAGGAAAAATACTAAAAATGTAATAGAAATTAAAAAAAAATGACTGAAATAATATGATGGTAATTTTCTTGTTGGATATTAATATATATTTTATTCTGTTAAGACTTTTAATAGAAATTTAGAAATAAC